CTTAAAAATCATTCGCAATTTTACGCTTTATCGCGAAATTAATCTCTCTAAAATCTTTGGAATGGAATTTAACTCTGCAGAGTGAAATCTCACTCTTAAAAATTAACAATTGAGGCATTCTTTTTCAACAGTGGCGCAATTGTCACTCTTTAGATATTAAATTCCACTCTACAGATTTTAGAGATCCAGTCGTTAGCTATCGCTTAAAAATCGTTCGCAATTTTACGCTTTATCACGAAAATGAAGGATTGGTATTGTCTATGAAACGTATACTTGGTATGAGCGATGGAAAAATGGCAGTAGACCACGATACTTAAAATCACGATACGATGAATCATATCTGAATTATATCTGCACATCGCATTATGCGGTCTCATTTCGTGATTATATTGACGAAATGATATCTTTGCTTTTAAACTGCGCGCGTGACTAAGTAAGGCGTTGTTGCAATTTTTTGTTATCATCTTTACCGATTAGATTATTCTGCTGTCAACTTTGGTATCTCTGTTAATATTATGTTACTCATGTTACTGTATTTTCAATAAGCGTACTATAACGTTTAAGCAAAATAAATTTGTTAATTTCCCAGGAAACAAATTGATTGTTATTCGACGTCAAAATAACAACAACGTCAGCTTGTTTCCTGAGTTAAACATTTCACGATTGTTTTACAGCAAAGTTTGAATAATTGATTATAATTATGGCTACAAAAGTTAATGCTCAAGTAGTGTGTCATTTTTTATTTTTATCCGATGGAGAGGAAGTTTAAATGTAGGAATCTGCAGTTCGATTTGCTGTTGAAAGGAAGCCACAGAACTCTGGATGTTATCCTATTAAATATTTCACTTCGCGCGTTGCAATGAAATGTTTTGTTTATTCATGCATGCGATACAAAATTTCAAGAACTAACAGACCAGGAAAAAAACGCACTCCTCATACGACTGTTTGCTACAATTTGCAAGCGTACAAAAAGTGTACATACGAATGGAGATTGTAGAAAGATTATCATCGTTATTTCGTTTTGATTAGCGCAGAGCTCCATTCTCGTCATCACGTCGGCCGTTTTTAATTAACATTGCATTTACACCCAACATCCACCATCACATTTGTACACAACGTAGTATTTAGCCCTCTGTTAAATTATTCCTGCAGTCGCGTCCGTACAAAGATTCGATTGAAATTCACTTACGTAGCAGCTACAGCGAATAAATTACTCTCTTACCAGTTAGTTATCAAATAAATATCTAACGAATAAATCCCGAGAACCTCAACAACTCGACTATTAAAAGTAACGTAGTAGGCTAGATGTACATTTACATGAAGATCCGCACATTTCGGCAGCGATATCAAGTAATTACAATAACAATTGACGTATAGCCGTGTTCAGCATCAAGTACGTACATACGATCACCGATTTGCGCGCCAGAAAAGTGTTACGAATTTTACGGCTTAACGAGAAAATGAATTTAGGATTTTACAGTCGTGCGAAGAACAAGACGAATTGTTTACAAACGCGCAATGTACGCAATCTTAATTGAAGATTGCTATCGTTTGCAGTTCTGCATGAGCACAACGCGCGTAATGTTATGATTAATTTATAGTAAGGACGAAACGTGGCTTGCAACAATGTCAACTGATGATACAAAAATCTTATTGATAATATGAATATCATAAAAGGGAGATATTTTAACTTTGAATTTTTCACATCTGCGCAACTACATCGTACAACGATTACAAAATATCGTACATGTAACAGGATTATATAATTTCAAAAGAGTTCTTCCTTATTTATTAAAAATTCAACGAAAGAGACTGTTTATGATCTATTAGCTATCCCGATATAAATTAAATCTTCGACTAATTTCCCAAATTAGAGAATCAAATTACTATTATTAATTATAACGTCTGATACCAAATTCGTCATCAATGATTACGTTATTAACTAGGTCTAAATTATTAAAAACACATGTTACTTCTATATCTTTTAGACTCCTGTATATTGCCTGTCTTCAATCGTTGCGCAAAAACCATATAATCCACTAACGTTTAACAATTTTAACATTATAGTGAACCTTCCTTCTTCTTATATACAGCTGCGTATCGTCTATAATAATTTAATTTTATCGGGGAAGTTCTGAAAAGTGTATCGCGCAGAGGCTATGCCACGTACCGACAATCTTGAACACTCACAATATCATTCCGTTCCATTCTTTGCGTCGAACAATTGTCCATATTCTGTTCTTCGGACTTGTTACATTTTAGACCGGGTGTCTACTTAGTTTTACTCTCCGAAGCGCGATTGTTAATAATCGAAAGTCACGATAATTACAAGCAGGAGTCCCAGTCTGATTATTTTATATGCTTCTTGGAGAGTATTGGGAAATTGAAAGTAGTTCTGTCAAAACAAACTCTCGGATATTATATAGTCTTAAATTCATCATTATAGTTCATTATATGAATTTTGCTGTCAAGCCCTCGGAGAGTATAACGAATGAACATGGCATCGCAAAAATTTTTTTTTACTTATTTAACGTCCATCGGATAATTTCACTCACAAAAGTTGTTTGTAGAGGATCATCCAGATTTGGATTAAAAAGTAGTAATTTTCCGCATTTTAATTCAAACGTTATCGTTTAAATTTCTTCTTCTTTTTTACATTGATTTGCTCAACGAGCGAGTATTCTTAATTAATTCAACGAAAAGTGTTTGACCGTCAAACGAAACGTGATCTTCTTGTTCGAATTAATGTTCGTTTACATTATCTAATTTAAGCGAATTAAATTTTGATTTAAGCTAATCTCATCCCAGCCGGCTTATTAGTGAACCGCGGAAGTTCGTGAGGTTCCACGTGCCGGTCCGAAATGCTCGTTTTCCCTAACAACACTAATAATAGACTAAAAGGGAGATTTTGCTTATCATTCACTTGGGAAAGATCAAAATCTCACGAACCTCCGTTGCTTTATTAATAGCAATATGTCGCGTTTCGCACAGTTACCACTCTAATTTCTAGAGCCGTTTGTACTTCGTCGACGACATGTTCCCTTTTCATCAACATCGAAAATATCTTCAAGTTGACAAATCTATTTCAGAATCAATTTCAAGAATTTTGCGAATCTATGTCAACAAGATATGAACAGATTTCGCGGAAATGACAGAAGGGCGCCGCCATGCTTCGACAAAGATCGACAGGAGATTCATTAATTTACTTAGCTTTTGTTTCACCTTTTTCCTCGCGCCACCCCATTTTCGTTCAGCTTAGGGCGGATTTCGAGCGAATCGAATGACACGAAAGGGTGTAAGACAGCGTAGGCACTTTTAGGAAAAATGGCTGACAGTATGAGGCTGCGTGTTCACTCGAGAGTTAGAAGCCCTTCTTCTCAAATGTCAACTGTACAGTTTTATGATTAACCGATTCTTCACATTCAGTATACTTGTTCAAAATGGGGAGATAAGACGTTTATTAAAGACATCTTTAGGATGTCTTATAATATGATATCTAAAAGATGTCTTAATGACATCTTAAGTTCCGATTTTGGACATGGTGCTGTTTGAGTCAAGAGAATCATCGATTTTTTTAGGAATTTTGCTATCGACAGGAAAATTTTGTCGATTTCGGTAGTAAAACGCTGGAGCGGACATTCAGTCTAAGGTGTAAGACAAATCAGGACCTGCTCGTATAGGCGAAAATATTCAGATAAATATGCAAGTATACATTTCAGTATACATACAATTACATAGGATTTCGGGAAATCGTGTACTTGCAGAAAGAAATGAATAATAAGTTTATAATTCTTTTTAGAATTCACCTATAAATTTTTTATCTTAAAAATTGGAAATTAACACATATTATACGCGCTGTATAAGTATTCAATCTATCTCAATTCTGTTCGATTCCTTTTCGATTTATTTGTTCCTAAGATGCGAGGATTAAAGGACAAATTTTCCTAAAACTCCTTATAATTTCATTAAACGCGATATATTCGCAAAGACAGATCCTGATAGATCTTACTTTCATAGGAAAGACATGTGTCCTTAAGTTATATACCAAGAATTTGCACGCCGCGATGAAGGATGTTATAATCTCGCGATAGAATAAGATGACGAGACAAAGTGATTACGCACATCAAGCGCACCTATGTTCGCGCACATCCGAGAACGCAAAGGAACCGACAGCGGATCGAAATCAGCGGGGAACCTCGTCAATTTAACGCTGTCACACAATATTCATTATTTTCGTACTAGAGCTGCACGCATATAGCCTACAATTATCTACGAAACGATTGCTTTTCGTTGACGGTTTAAAATAATCTAAAGTTCCTATAAGTAGTGTCGCCTCGTCAGTGACTTGTATATATAATATATTACATATTCGCCTTTGTGTATGTATGTATGCTCTTTCTTTCGTCTCTTCACTATGTTAAAATATTTTTATTTTGTCTATTATACTAGCGCACATATAGCTTTATATTCTTGCGCGTTTCTTCGAGTTATCCACCGGGGACACACATGGAGAAAGTTTCGCGAAAATCCGAAGAAAGAGCACTCTTGTCTTCGTTCTTTTTATAATAACACGATAGGCCATTCGATAATCAACATTGCACTATGTATGTATACATAATGTCCGTCCGAGTCCGGAAGGTATCACCTACACCGAATAAAATCGGTCTCTTCTTATAGCCAAACTTTAATAATCTGTCTTTTTTTCAAATAATGACATGAATAAAATATTGTAATACAACTAATGCGAAATACTATAATTTCATGTGATATATTTATTATAATGAATTTTTAAAATCAAGTTAATGCTGTTTTTAAGATGAATCGTTCGTTAATAATAACACGATGAAAAGATTTTTCTTTAAACATTGTAACCGTATGAATATATGTTAAAATTTATTACATATATTTCAATGTATTCAATAAATCAATTATTAATGTTCATTAAACAAATATGTACTGCGATTATTCTTGTAAAAGAAAATTATTTCATAACTAGCGGAACTTAATATCATCTAAAAGATAAATATGTTGGTTTTATGGATCCACATTCTGTCGAGAGAAGTAGCAGACGAGTCAGCAGCGACTGGCATAAATGATCAAGTTAAATAATGAGAAACTAAATAATGAGGAAACTTAATAAAATGCGTGGTTGTAAAACGCTTTTCGTAAAAACAATAAGCGTATTACGATAAAAAAACGCATAAATACAGTTTTAGACATACATCCCGCTTACATCTCGATTAAATACCTACAATCTTTGTACAGTTTCTTTTTTTATACAGAATTCTGATTTCCTATCGACTAAATTGGAACTCAGAACGTTCCTCGCGTGAGATTCGGACCTCGGCTGATCCCTTCAACGCGATATTTCTCGTCTCTCTTCTTCCTTCCGGCCTTCTTTTCTTCTGCTTTCGATAGCATTTGATCTTCTCGGTCCGAAGCACTTACGCTCATGCGACCAAGTTGCGACGCGACGGCGCGCAACGAGGGAAGGGAGGTAGGGACGAAGAAGGGAATGATAGGGAAAAGAGGTGTATGTTCTTTTCTCCGCGACTTGTGGGCCGTAAATACTCTCAATCACAAGTCCATCCTAGCAACTTGGCACTGAAGGGAGAGCGAGCTACGCGATGACGTAGGACGACTTCGGCCCGGTCATCTTGTCACATCAGAATAGGCCGAGCTTGGTCCGCAGGAACTCCTTGATCGGAACATAATATTGGCTCCTTAAGGCCACCATTTCCGGCGTCTTACGCAGGCTGTTGAACAGCGTTGTGTCCGTCTCGAACACTAGTACCGTCACGATGAACAGCACCGTGATCGTCAGCATGAACGCCGGTATAAAGATCCTGATCACATGCAAGCTCCTGTGTTTGATCTTGCCGCTAGCCACGCGTCGTACGCCCTGATGCTGCTGATGATGATGATGCTGCTGCTGGAGGCAGAGCTTGGAATTCTGCAGTTTCTGCATCTTCGGTACCGGTGTGACCGAACGGCTGTGCGGCTTACCGGACGCGTCCAACAATTGGCTTTCCGACGAGGAGTGGTCGAAGGAGTCCCTGAAGTAGTAATCGTTCGCCTCGCCCTCATGCTGACCGACTGAAACAGAAAGGACGCGATCGATGCTATTGGATGATTGTGTTAGCCAGTGACTCGTAAGGGACGAAGACGTTACATGTGCGGAGTTTTCTGACGATCCCACTCTGAGGTTTGAGGATTGTGTTCGTGGAGTTAGCTTTTTATGACATCATAAAGTCAACTGAAATAATTCTTTTATTTATAACGATTCACTTCCGTTTGTCTACTCGAGCACAATGTTTTCAATGCTTTAACTCTCAAAAAAGAATTCTATATAAAGAACGAAAAGTATCAACGTAAAATCTCGAATGAAATAACAGCTGTTTTTTGCGTTAAATTAATTCAATTGTATACACATGACAAAGAAATATCAATATGGTATATAAATATGAAGAAATATCTATATCAAGAGATATAAAGAAACGTCTATATCAAGCGCTTTATATTATAACACGGAATCGAATTTAGAAGATGATAAAAATAAAATAACTTTTAAATACCTTCTGTACTTGCAATAAATGTTTCTAACAAATCACATTGTTATCAAGACATTGTTATCAAGAATAATTTCTGTTATCTATAGAAGATATTTCTATATAGAAAATGAAATTTGTGTGATTCGTTGTTACAATCTACTCATGTGATCGTTTAATTATTAAATACATATACTATTATTTTTAAAATAAAATTAGAAAATTATGTTAGAAGAATTTGAAAGAAAACTTTTAAAAAATTTCACGTCTAATTTCATTCAAAGATTTCAAACTGTAATTTCATTGAAAAAAATAATACATACAAAAAAGATTTCGTAACGATGGCCCGTTCGGGAGAGAGTCATAGCGAATTCAGTTGAACGTATCAGTGCATATTAAAGCCGTATACTGATTTAATCTGAATCTAAAATGCAATTATTTATAATTATAAAATACGTATTTTACTTAACAGCATAATAAAATGCATTGAGAATTTCACGGTTTAACCTGTATTTATATTTATATTAAATATATATCTAATATCTTTACTTAATTCATGTACCACGATTCTAATATGCACCAGTGCGCAGTGAGTCCAATCGAATTCGCCATTAGATTATTGATCTCCACAAACCGATTCTATAGAGGAAATCGACAGAAAACTGCTTTACGTGAATTTACGTATACGCGTGCACTTCTGTAATCATCGTACACTCTCATAATTGCGATCGTTATTTTATCAATATAACCATCGTACTCGGGACTTGGCTATATGACGAGAATCTTTCAGTGACTCCTAAATATTGGAGATATCCAAAAAGTTGTTCTATCCAATAACCAATTAGTAAAGTACGATGGTCGAAATATCTCGCGGATTCACTAGGAGCAACGTATCGAATGTGTCGGTTTGTATACGTTAACAGGCACAAGCCCATGCAGACCGCAATAGTCGAAGCGTAACATAAAGGAAGACGCAAGGTAACAAAGCAGAGTCCAACTCCAACGACAACGACGTACACGTAGGAACACAGGAGAGGCGAGGTTTAATACGCAATTGACAGAGGAAGAGACAGAGGGTGACGGAAGGAGGAAAGAAGAAGGAAACGGAAGGTCTTCGACGTTTCATCGTCCTGGGATCTTCGCGCTTACCTGCTGCTTGCCGTTGTCCCGAGTGATCGAATCCATTCGACAGTCCTGGCCTCGCGGCCAGATTCGCGCAACCGTTGGCGGTCTTCGTCGTCGTTTCGCGGCCTACCCCGTCGTCGATCTCGCTTACCTCTACCCGCGTTTTACCGTCGTGCGCGGAATGCACGCTTCTGACAGGGATCCGTCCGTTGGCGCTCGCCGGCGCCTTCGAGCTCTTGATTATCAGGGCGGTCGACCGTACCACCATTGGACATCGCTCGTTAATCAGGGCGTTAATATGCCGCGCCCCCCGCCAGCTCTTCCGAGCCTATCACTATTTTCTGACTGTACAACGGTTGCGGTCGGTTCAGCGTGCTCTTGGGAAATTTCAGTTTGGCTTTCGCACGGTTTGTGGTGGTGGTGTTGGAAGTGGTGATGGTGGTAGTGGTGGTGGTGATGGTAGTAGTAGACGTGTGGGTGGCACTCGCATGCGTATCATTTTCGTCTACGGCTAAAAGAACAGAAAGAAAAGGAGAAAACAAATCAACCGAAGGTTCTAAAAAGCCAAAGAAGCGGCGGCGGCAGTCCCGTAAAAAAAAAGGAGATTTTTCTCGGTTACGCGTCGCTTATAAACGCTATAGATGCACGACCGACATTTATTCTTCGAGATTTAGCGGGCAATGCGAGCGGCCAGAAATTCGATTTACTCCAATTTTCATACTTATAATTCTTCCTTTTATATAAAAAAAAATAATAATGAACAAATATACTAATTTTCGAATTTTCCAATTGTCTTTTTAGGTATAAGGGTACTTAATTTCAAATCGATAAGGATGTAGGTATCGAAAGATTATCTCGTTCTCTCAGACGAGAGAAAATTTCGCATGTTATATACTTCGCCATGCACTAATTTCTGTCAAAGACTAAATATTTTCTCTGTTGCTATAGTACCTTAACTTTACATTACTCGTGTAGTTTTTTTAACGTAATTAGTCGTGTGGGATGTTTTGATATTTTAACCTTATATCTTAATTTTAAGTGTTTCTTTTTTATAATTTATAATTAAATAAAAATTGATATTTTTCTATCTAAAGGATGTTTTATATATCCTTTAGATAGAAATAAATGCAAACAAATTTTTTAAATTGTGAAACAATTTGCACTAAATATAATATCAATATATATAAATAGCATTTATACATTTAGCAAATTTATAAGCTTGGGAGCGTTCTAGACATCCCACGCGAATAATAAAGAGTTAAAATTACTGATTTCATCGTGGATATATCTGACTAAAAATATACATTTCTCCTTTATAGAATTTAAATGCAAGTTTCAAAAGCTTTTGATAGGTTAATATATCGCTGTTTCGTTATTATATCGTGTACACATGCGTCGCGGCGATGGACTCGAATGGGCCGGGAGGCTGAACAAGATTAGGGAATTCAATGTTTCAAACAGGAAAAAGAGAGAAAGAGATAGATAGAGAAAGAGAAAAAAGATAGAAAGAGAGAGAAAAGGGAGAGAAAAAGAGAAAAGGTGGCCATTATTAGATCTGTTAACTAACCGTTGTTTCTCCTGGCATGAATCTCTTGGTCCTCGGATACAGTCTCCAGAAGGGGCAAGGTATTGTCTGGGCAGTAGGGCGAGCTAAGGGGAACTCCCGCACCGCCCTCCAACATTCCGGTGCCGTCCAGACCCGCGCTGTGACAGCTACGTGGTAAGCTAGAATATCCTGAAAATGTGAAGGAAAGAAAGCTTGTACAGTTCATACATTAAGAGATCGCATCTCAATTATTTTATAATACCTTTCAATTTTATAAAAAATCACGCTGCTGCATAAAATTATGGTAATTAAAATCCCCAACAAAATCCTAAATTTACCTGAATATCTACCATTCTACAGAAAAATGCGTGTTTTGGTGGTCCATGTTCACGAAATTACCCATCTACAGAAAAATGCGAAACACGCGTTTTTCTGTACAATGGAAATATCGTAAACATGGACCACCAAAAAGCGACAGTGTATGCAAATTACGTGGCGGTGAAAAAAAAATTACTCACGTATTTCAACGAGATCCTGGCTCGGTGTGCTGGGGGTCGCCGGTACACTGCTGGCCTTTCTTCTTAAACACGTCGTCTGGCAGCGTTGTATCGGCGGTTCCTCCTTCCGGAGTGGTCCTGCTTCCTCCAGAACTTCTCTCTCCGTTCTTCCGGTATATTTAAATTTGTATCCCTAAAAAAAAAAAGCCGTTAAAAGTTACTCGTGATGTTCCATATACTGTACGATCGATAATCAACAATTATAAATATTTACCAATAATTATAAATATTAAATATTTACAATTATAAATATTTAAGTATATGTATAATATTTTATAAATCGATATCGGAGAGAGAGAACACACGTACCGTTACTTTCAGTAACAAAATGACTTTATTAAACCTCTCAGCGTTAATTGTTATATACGAGACGAAATTTTATCAGCTTATTGAATATGTAATATTTATAACTCTAGTTTAATTCTAATATTTAGTTTAGACGACATAAATAATAATAATAATAATTTAGTCGTCATCACAATTGTTTATGATTAAAGCTTTGAGGAAGATTAAAAATGTTAGTAAAAGCTTTTGCTAGATGCAATATTGTTTATTGCTAATTACAAATTTAAATTGTTAAATTTAAGTTGTGCATCAATATCCGTGTTGGTTATCTTTGGCGTTTTTCAATTTTTTCACTATTAGATTTAATCTCAGAGTCGTCATATATTTATACATTTTATTTAATTCGATAAATATTTACATAAATATTTGTGGTATAAACATTTATAGCACCGTGATAAAACGCTTCTGAACGCGTTTCTTTTAAATTTGTTCGAAAAGAATGCCGTTAGGAGCGATTAATCAGCTCGTTCGGATCATCAGGCACGAATTTCATTCACCTGTACCGGCGGCGCCGTGCGAACAGGTGCGGCATAAATATCGCAAGTATCGAGATTAGGCCTTCACCCGCACTGGAATCCAACTAAGAGGATTTATGCTCGCATAAATTTGTTGAGCGGAACTAACCCGGAGCAAGAGTGCGCTAGTCCCGTGATCGAAATCGCGTTCGCCGCTATGGACAACGTCAACTCGTCGAATTTCGGTGGAATCCGCAGGAATTGATTCCCCTTGGATAATGCCTCTATCTAATTAATCAGATTGTTTCCTCTAATGCGTTTTTCGCGTTTAATTCCAAATGCAGTTTTAACGTTTACGAGAAATGAATGTTTTTCAGTCCACCTGTTGTAGACAGCTGTTATAGTGTTCTTATTATCTTCGTATAATGTAACGTCAAACGTATTGTTTTTAAAAAAAAATTGGTAATTAAAGCTGAAACAAAGCTGATTTTCTGTTAGAAATTTTATCTTGTGGCAGGCATCAACGTTGCAAGTTGCAACTGTACTTTAATTATCTGGATGACAGCCAAATTACCCTGACAGGACAACGGTCGTTTACCGCGAGCGATTTTAGCCATGTTTACCATTTCTAATGTGCATTCGAAACACTCTGACAGGTATATCTTCAACTACGAGTAAATAGACCAATGTTAAGATTGCATGCAACTCCCCAGTAATCCTTTGATTCCATTTATTATTGTATAATGACGGAGTCTCCCAAATCTTCATTCCGATGTAACTTCACGTAGAGAAGAATATATTAGACAGATTTAACATTCCTGAATTCGTTAAAAAATTTCGAAAAGTAGAATCGCCTTTTTATTACGAGAAATACAAAACACCCTTCACTAATTATATGAGAAGCTATAATGATAATTATTGAGCCTTATTATTATCTATGACATCTCTTTTGTTCATCATTAAACTAAAAACTAACTCATTTTATCGGGACGCAATTTTCCGTATAATTAGTGTCTTTTAATTAATTTTGACAAATTCACGTAATATTGCGAATACTGAACCGTAAATATAGATTGAGTTGTCATTGACGATACGTTTGTTCGAAAATAGTGCCACGTTGTGTTCACGCGACTGCAAAATTAATTGAAATTCGTATAGGATGATATTTGACGAAGTGTCCAAGGCAATTTTCGTTTCAAGTTTGACAATTACTAAATGGAAATACTCACTTTTAGTACGAATTCACTTAAATGACACTCGTGTAAAATTGCAATGCTCGCATACAAATATACCGCGAATTGAAAAAAGATATGTTCGTCGCTGAAACAACCTTGTATAAGCACAAGCGTTCGTCCGGGCATCCATCAATGCTCATGGTAGAAGCATTAAATTTGGCCGCGCGATAGTAACGATAAACCGTGCATGTAAGTGTCAGCAATATTTCCGAAGATCGGATGCATCTTTTACAGAAGCGCTGGAGTTACTTTTACGGCTTAGTTCAATTACTTATGTCGGAAAAGCCACACGTACGACGTGGCCAAAATGCGAAAATGCGCCGGAAGACATTTTACAAACTTTGCTCAAGTTTCAACTTGATACGGAAAGATCAAGCTAAGGATCTGCAACTGATTAGTCGTTACTAAATCTTCATGAAGAAGAGAATAAGTTCCGTCACTGCAATTTCGCACAGCGATTATGTGCAGCACCGAATAAAGAAAATCTTGGAAAAGTCGGAAATAATATTATAAAATGAAAAATACTTGTCTTTTATTTATATAAAATGTAAGCATCATTTGCGCATTTAAATTATTAATGTACAGGAATATACATAATGGTGAGAACACGTGAATATATGGATGTAAAAGCTTCTCCATAAGTAGTAAAAATGCCATGCGATGTAAAACATGATAAATCTCATACGTGCTTTCAGAGGGAACACGAGTAAAAGAGGTACTCACGTAAAAAACAGCATCTGCTCGATGGCGCACCGCCACACGTGACGACAGTTCGTTGCTGTGGGACATTTGAACCCGACGAGATGCTTTTTCTGAAAATTGCAAATACGAAGACGCTCGAAAAATATCCTATCTTGACGTTATACGTATTATGTGAGCAAATATTTGCATTTTTGCAAAATAAAGCCGACAAAAAATAGATTATCTTTACTCTTCGAACAAGATAAATAAATGAAAAAAAAAAAACGAGTAAATTAATACTGTATCTTATTCCAACGAGCGATGGTGATATTCTTTAACGACTGCATGATGCCGATCACTTGTTTGAGAATATTGCAATGTTACGTTACGTACAATCACAAAATATAGAATAAAGTGAATATTATTGATTTGAAATACACGATTCGCCACGTTTTTCGTGGAGGGAATTTTTAATTTGAAAATGAGACGGATATCCTGTAAAAATGTATAGTTTCAAAGTGACAAAGACAGCTGTTTTATTCCTGGTTTTATTACTCAAGGAGAAACAGTGCGAAGGCAAGGGATTTCGTGAGATAAGAAAGATTTATTATTCGCAGGGGGCGACGTAAGTCACGAGATACGCATCTCCTAAAAGCATCTGTATTATTCCATATTTTGATAAATGCAAATCATATAAACACGCATAGAAATTATTTAAGATTTAAGTTTTAAAATGATTTTTTTCTTCGTGTTTTTCTGATTTTTTTTATATTAGATTAGATGTAATAATTAAGTACTTATATATTAAAATTACTTATATATTAAAATTCCGCGATTAAAATCATTCTCTAACTCACCTTTGTCCTCACGTCCTGCACGAGTCCAGCAAAGAGAAACAATAGGATTACTTAACTTACAATCACGTAGTATCTGACGTCACATGCACATACTGCACGCATACGTTGCACGCGAGCGAGTCATGCACGAATGAGAGCGCGCATTTTCACGTGCGATTATTGTAACATAGTAATATACAGTGTTCGTAATTAGAAATTGTCGAGATAAAACATGGCTTTTCAAGGGCTTAAAGATCCAAACTGCATAACACGATGCAAAAAACGATTAAATAATTCCGACGAAGATCTCTCAACACGACAAAGACCTTGTTACCATCGTGCGTTTAAAAGTCGGCAAGAAAAGACCTTTATCAAAGGGAAATTTCTTTCGGCTAAATTTATGACTAAAATGCTGAGAAAATCGCAATGTAATTGCAATATTCATAATCAGAAAAGTCGTCTCACACAAAAACAGTATAGAGCGATTTTTTGAAAAAAAAAAAGCAAAATAAAAATTTGTTCTGATATCTTACTATATAATCTGCACTATAATACAGTTGAAGTGATCTTTAAATTCTTTGGAATGGAATCTCACTCTAAAGATTGAAATTTCATTCTTTACAGTGAGATTTCACTTAAAAGAATTCACAGCTCAGATAATTTTATTTATTATAATGTTTTAATAAGCAAATGGTAAAATTCGGCTCTGTACAAGCCTTTGTAGAATTATGAAAGAAGAAATAAAAAAGATATTGCGGCAAAATATTTCTTCTACGAAGCAAACTATGGTAGAATACAGATATGTATCTGCATCGCGAATGAGGTGCAGATAAAGCTGGCCCTTATACTGCTGTCGACCCTAACATTCAGAGGAGCATTATAAATTGTACGAATTTTAGAACAAATAACGATTCAGTTTTAAAAGCATCGTTTACATTTGATTTCATGCAACGCATCACGCGATACATCTAGGCTAATAAAGCCTTGCGTCTTATTAGATGTTATTCCCGCGTTTGTATTTTCCATATAATGTGTTTAATACAATTCAATTTCTCAGCAATTAAAAATGAGAGATATTACGAAATTCTTTTATATAATATAGTATTAAAATAAAAATTTACGTGGAAAATTTTAATTCTCTAGATGTGGAATATTCCGGTAGATCGTAGTATCTAGTCAACAAAAAATATGCTTACCTCATTTATCGTCACATGCACAATAAACATCTTTCCTTCGAAATTGATCTTCTGAACTTCCGACCAGCGGAAATGCTGAATCTTTCGTGAGTCTTGGAATGTCAGGATCCCACAATGGTTAATGCCCAAATGAAGCTGCGTGCCCTTGTCGGGATCCTGTAAATGTAACGCGAACGTATTTATCAGAAAATAAAATCGCAACGTGGCTGGAAACGCAATGCAACGTTTGTATGGATAATGCGAAAGAGAATTTAAGAAAAATTTCCATTTAGTTAATGTATTCGCTATCGAAGAATTATCCTGAAATTCAATCGTTACATCAATTTTTATTTACATCAGAAATTGTCGTTAAATTTTTATCGATATAAGGTAGAGAAAATAATTTGCATATACATATTATACTTGTATAATTACCGTTCCAGATAAAACTAATTACGTGGAAAACTTTTTTATTAAAATGAACGACATGTTCATTATATTTCCATTATATTTGTGTAATTATTATTCGCTCTCTGCCTATTTCTTCAACAAGTTTTTTCTTTCCACGATTTATTCAATGCCTCATTGTCGACCTTTTCCGGTAAGAACATCGTATATCGTACGTCGTGACGGCCAATGAGACAAACGTTTAGCGCGTGAAACAGATACTTTGCAGACGAGTGTGCAGGTATCCTTTCTCGAGTAAGTGAGAACTGTGTCTCATAGTCACGATGTCGCGCCATAAAAATGGCATTTTCCCTTAAACGGAAGACGGTCGCAACAGTGGATCACGATTACTTCTTCAGCAAAAATGTCGCCATGCAGGCAGGAAGTAAAAAACCAATAAACGACAGGTACTACCACGCCATCAAGCACTCGCTTCTCGCGACGAAAGTGCAATGAATGCATCGTGATGAATAATAGCGGGTTGTTTTTCCTCGCGAGCGATACGTAACACGTGATTGTTAGTTTGCTGAGTCGCTTATATATATATATCGCAATTTATTTGTCAGCGAGAGGATTCCGGCAAAGATAACGGCAGTGGTTTCAATGGGCGTATCGATCGACCGAGACATTAATTAAACAATAGAGTACGTTGCATTAGCATGAGTATTGAAAATGTGTTGGTGACAAAGTTAATATTAAAAAGCATTTTATCGCTTAAGATTATCGCTTAGGAGATAGATTTATCACTTGGATCGTTTCATCACTTGGAATTTCAAGAATGTTCTTACATCTTGTATCTAAATAGAAATAATGCAAGACGTTATATAATATACTTACATAATACATTTTCTATTGAAAACTTCTCTAGTTTTGAAATGTTCTCAGGAAAAATATTTTGTATTTGTGTTACTACTATTTGGAAACGGTCCACTCAAAACGTGATTAAAATTTTGTGTTGAGTTTTTAACATATTCGAATGTTAATTGAACATAATGAGATTATGTTATTTAAATATTTTGTGTTAAATTGATATTCAACGTTTCAGTGTAAAAATAACACGCTTTATGAGTAAGTAAACAAATAACACAAAAATAATGTGTTTTGAAACGTAAATTTTAAGATAAATGAATGAAATACGTGTTAATTTAACGATCATAAATGTTAATTTTACTAAAAAAGAATATGCTTTTACATTTTAGTTGCAAATTATGTCAGTATTACTTTCTTGTGTTAATTTTTTTATATTATATTTGTGTTAATAACATATTCATTTTGTGTTAAATTAATACAAAAATTTGAATGGACCGTTTGGAACACGTAAAATATGTTCAATTTAACATAAACTTTCCAACTGTGCCCTTTTTGATTCGTATATTAATTCATATAAGCTAGGAGGCTAAGTGTATGTGGATGATACCTATATATCATAGTAACAATCGAATAAAGATGTTTCAACGAATCCTCAATCAGTTATCGACAGCGAATAATAGATGCGCTCTTGAGGAAATCCCGCGGAAGACTTGCTCTTCGTTTGAATATCAATAAACGTTGCTTCATATTCTATGATATTGGCAGAGACGTCAATAGCAGCTAAAATCGGTTATCTTCGAAAACGTTTCCTACCTTGCAAAATTGTTCCGTCATGAAAAATGAAGTCGGGGCGATTCGGAATTATTATAAATTAAATTGCGAACAATGCGAACTAAATGATGACGAGTAAATGGAAATCTGTATTTAGTATCCCATGTAACGTACGCGTTAGCTTACATTAATAATATTTATATTGAAATTTGCAATATGTGCTCTCAGTTATACATATACATATAATTCACGTTTTACAGTTATACACATACACGATAATAACGCAGTGACATTCAAGATATTTAACTATCACATAGCAATAATGGAAATGTAACTAAATTCAGCTACGTTTGAACATTTTAAAGTAGTGGAATATCACAGCAAAGTAATAAAAAGTCGCCAATTTATGAAACAAGCACACAAAGCGCGATCGTTCTCTCGCGAGGAAGAGAGAGATAAACCGGTTATAAACTCTTATCGACATAGGCGAGATATACGATTTTAATTGCAATACCTATACGGCCGTGTTCGAATTTATTGATCTGCATTCATCGATCTCAAAACTTGCGCTGAAGCGTTATTCTTGCACCCGGATTGCAATCTGCATTTTTGATAAGGATAAAATAAAACGAAACAATTGAGTTAACAATTGAGCTTCTTTTTGATCTCGGAATAATGAAATTTGTAATAATAGGTAATCAAAGTAATATTGCAAAACAAATATTATAATTTAAAGTCTCAAATTTCCCGAGCAAAGAAGGTCACTGAAAGCGCAATTGTATCCCGTTACAACCATGATGTAAAGAAACCCGGTGTAACATTGCGCATAATAATGCTGAATATAATTTAAAACAAATTTCTAATTAGCAAATTTCTAACAGTGGCTTTATATTGACTTATAAAATTTGTGATCAATCTCTGATTGGTCACAAATAATGTCATTACTTTGAACGACTGCGCTTCGTGAAATTGGTTCACTTAGTCTTCTTATATCATGATTACAACAATAAATCATTGACCTTAAATTTTCGAACGTAAACAGATAGACGCCACTCGTAAAGAATCGCGTAAGAAACAACGTTCATTGGTGCGTCAAAGGACAACAGTACGTCGCTAACGGATTGAAACATATTGCCGGAAATAAAGAAGGACGTCATTAGCATCACGAAAGGAAACGACCATGAGAGCTCACTCGAGTTGGTCACGCTATCAACCCGTTAGCAACTTTCAAGTTTGTTCCTCGACAATGTTATCGCCCACATTGTTGATCACGACGACTTCGACTACTATTGAGTCAACATTCGACCCATTTTGGGATCTTTCTTTGATAAAAGTTTAAATACCAAGTTTCTGGGTTCTTTTTGTGATATCGTTGATATTAGTAAACAAATAAATTGAAATGAAAGCGAGTCAAAGAATACATTTCTGAATTGAAAATCTTTTGATATTATATTGACTGGCTGTTTTAAGGAGCGTGCAAAAATAATGAAAATTACCTTGACCGGATGTGGATCGACCGCGTACGTGTCCAATTGCGAGGCTATCCTAAGGAAGTAGTTTTCCGCCTGTTCCGGAGTGAACCCCTTCAACTGAGTCTGATGTAGGTCCATCGCTTTATCCTCGATCGTCGGCGTCTGCGTCTTCAGCAATTTGTGCTCGGAGATATAGTTCCCTTCGTGGATCTCGGGATCGTAATCTCCCAGTTCACCTGAGAATTCCGGAAAAGAAAGGCCGTCTTATCAATTGCGCGTTTCTTCTCATTCTTTATTTCACATAAATATTCTACGCACTGAGTTTATTCGTTTTATTGATATCGATAAGAAAAAATATCAAATTGAAAATGATCGTAAATTGTACACAAAAAGAACAACTTGGCTGAAATATCTAAAAATTTAGCTAGGTACAGATCAGAAAATAATTTTATTGGACTATCAAAATGCTGCAAAAAATTTTAAGAATATAACAACTAGTTTGAGCATCCTATGTTATTTTGATGATCTAACAAAATTATTTTCAGATCTGTAGTTAGTTAAATTTTTAGATGCTTCAGTAAAATCTTCCTTTCCTTGTAGATTTCTAAAATTTAGAAAAACCTTTTTTGTATCTAGTTCCTATAAGAAAGAGATGCTTGACGAGGTTAATTATTGAGTACATTCTGAGATCGTATGGCAGATAGTTAGAAAAATAACGAGCGCTCATCGCGGCTATTACTCAAATTGCAACAGGGTGTGGACGACTGAATATAAATCGTCCGCGATTGAGAAATGAGCGCTGCTCGAACCGGAAAATTAATGTTAAAAATAAATGACGAGGAAGCAAACAAATCTTCTCGAAATATCAAACTAATCCGCGGCAGTTCCTATCTTCTTCAATTGATGAGAGCCTATGTCCTATATAAAAAAAAAGCCATTTATTTTGCAAAGAACGAGGAATCTGCATGAAAAACGGCCTACTTTAGCAAATAGAGGAAACGCATACCGATTGCGTTCCGCTACGAGGAACGTACAAGAACAGCTATCGCCAAGGTCAGCAAAAAGATCCAACGGAAAGCGAATAGTTTTTATAGCTGCAGCCACGGTTCGCTGGAAGGTGAACGGTCTAAGAATTGATGGTCGACGACCGAAGTTTTAATACAAAGAGTCACGATCGGCTACGGTGGAAAGTGACGGGTCATTGATTGCTCCCTTACGTACTTCTCAATAACGGGATCGTAAGACAAATAAAAGGTTGATTCCGCACTTATACCTATAAAAGGACATCAACTCCGAAAGGTTACTTTCCAGACTAACTTCGATCACAATCTAAGATTCCGTAAATAGACAGTTGCGTTTCTCGTTCAATCACGAAGAACTAAATTTAACGGGGTATGTATATATGAATATGTATTAAAGGTTCCATCGATTACAATTTTACTAAGACTGATAACGCGACTTGACATTAATTAATCTGGTAGTGAAATTGATTAATCTGTATTTGAACAACTCCCATTATTCATCTATCGACTTCGTAACACGCTTAATCGCATTTCACGAGAGACGTTGACAGATTCGAGGTATTAACCGACAATTTTTTTTTTGGATGAACTTCAGAGAAAATAAACGTAAAGCCACACAATCGTATATTTTACGGAAATGGTGTTGCACGATCGATGGGCGACGATCAATGGGAGGGGTGGGTGATACATGATGACTGTGATAGGTCACTGGAAAGGAAATCCTGAATTATGGGATTCCCGAAGTGGAGATAAAGGAATAAATTGACCGAATGACCACATGAAATGGAGAGAAGCTGAAACTGCAGAAATTATGTGACTGCAAACGTCATGCATTGTTCATTGTTCACGAATCCAATATTAGATATAAAACCATACTAATCATTATAATCAATACTAATCGTTTATAATCGCCAGTTTATAATTATTTAATTCGGCTACCTTCTAAGAAAAAATGAATTTTCGCTAAATTAACATAATTTCTTAATAAATATTTTTGATTAACAGAAAATAAGATTGAAAGGCATAAAAAATAATTTTAAATAAAAAATGATAGACAATTATATGAAAGAAATAAAGTATAAGAAAAATAAAAGTTTTTTTTCGTTTACAAAGACTAAAGTAGCGTGAAGCTTAAGATCCGGGCGGTGAGATGAGTTATTCTTCTAGCACTCATTACCTTTCTGTCATTAAGACACGACATTATGATATAAAATTCGAAAATAAAAAATCAACGAAGGATGACCAAAAGAACAAACTTACTTTGCACGATGCAAGCCACTAGCAGCGCTGCCTCGCCAGGGCTGCAACACAAACGTCCATAAAGCAGGTCCCTTTTAAGCTGCTGGTACACTTGATACCTGGTAATCTCTTCCTTTAGCCGCAGAGGATCGGGCGGGTAGAATTTCACGCGAAAGCACAGCAAAATCTCGTGCATGTCTGAAACATAATGACAGTAAAAGATCAGATATGTTTCAACGGACCAGCATCTTCACTTACGACTTGTGTACTTTTGTCGTGCAAGAGAAACACTCGCAACTGACATTCGGTAAACTTTTCAATATAATTCCGCGCTTGATTTAAAATATATATTGGCAAATTTATTGAATTAACATAAGTATGCTAAATTCAATTTATTCTTTTTTTTTGTATCTAGTCTCTCTCTCTTCACACAAAATCATCTTAAGTATACGACCGTATATTACAGTATATGTAAGTATATTAATAGTATGAGTATTTAATTAATAGTATGACTATACATAGTCGCACTAGAAAGAATCTGGTTGAATTAATTGGAATTCTATTTAAAAATTGACAAATCAGAATTTTCTGGATGAACATATTAAATTCTTGTTGAAGTTGAGATAACTAGAATTTTGATTGATATGATCACCCATTCATTTTTAATCAGAAATTTTTCTCAGTGCATAAATTACTTATAAGTTACTAGTATAAATATTGCTCGTATCTCTATTTTATAACACGCTAGTCATACTCCAAAAATCCTACATTGCTTATGTTTCGTAATCTTGACCATACTCCAAAAAATCCTGCGTTACTTATTAAATCTCCTTCGTTACATATATATATCATTGTATATTTATTACGTAACGACGGTGACGGCGACAACGATCGGACTAAATACAATTCAATATAATTTTGCAATGTGAATTTTGAAATAATTTAACAGAGCGTTATGTATATCGATCTTCTCAATAACTAGTCTTTTAATAGTGCGACATATATATCGACCTTCTCTCTCTTCTCAGAACGACAATCGACACACGCAATATTAAAGGAAATAGCATTTACTAGTATATCGTACGCGTATAAAAACGAAGACAGAAATGAAAACGGATAATGGCGGTATTAACAGACTAATGTCTTCGCATGTGGGAATGCAATGTTTGTAAGTTCACATAATTTTATGATTATTTTATCATATACGTAGGTATCTCGCAGATATACCTATACGTATCGAGCGTAGCGTGCGAAACCATGTAGATATTTATTTTATACAAATAAGAGAAACAGCTGGCGCAAATATACACTTATGAACGCATCGTCGATGCAAATCGAGCTCTATACTCGCGATAACATAACGTTGCCGTCTCCATAATGCGAGGTCGTGATCCCATTCGATATGGTATCATTACAGCTAGTTGCCTTCGACAGATATAAAATACTCGCGAGCTGCCTTTAATGTTGACCTTCCGCAAAACATATGGAATATCAATCAAACAGGTTATGTTTAATCAGTTTCGATCTTGCGTCAAGTGCTTTATATTATGCAATTAAATACAAATGCATTTATAATGTAAATATATCATACATTAATTCTGTCAACTCTGCGAGCATTAAGATCAACAGGTACGCAACAAAAACGCTCAGTCGTGATCCAGAAACATTTCTTATTGTTAATCCAAAGCCAACCCTTCGAATTTACTTAATTCCAGCTCAAAGAGGAAATATCCGCAACTTCTGTCGCGCACCCTCAGCGAACGCAAGAGTATTTGTTTTTTATTTTGCTTCCACTATGCGGCATCCAACTGTCTAAAATTTTTAGAGTGAAATTTAATTCTAAAGCCCACTTTAGATCATCTATAATTTACGACTAAATTCAGGATAGAATCCTATTTATAATTTTACGTGTTGTATATATATTTTCTATGCATGTATTTACTTCTTCAAATGTTTTCCATGTTACACGACACGCAAAATTATGAATAGAATTCTGTTTCGAATTTGATCGCGAATTATAGATCGTCTAAAGGTCTAAAGTGAGCTTAAAGAGTGAAATCTCACTCTTAAAATTAACAATCGAACCACCTTTTTGGCTCAATACTTTAGAATTAGATTCCACTCCAAGGATTTTAGAGAGAATTTATTCAAACGGATTGCCGAGTCGAATTTTCTAAGAAAAAAAAAATATCTTAACCTTTTTGGACAGGTCTGGTCTAAAGTCCGTTCAAGTTTACGAGAATAGGCCAACGGGTCGCGACTGCATGAAACTTTCATGTGACATCGACCGACGTAATCGGGCGCGGGAGGGAAAAGTCGTACCTCGACGACGATCGACCCTGCCTCGGTCACAGCTGTTCCGCTGATACCTGTGTTCTCTATCTACGCGGCAATGTCATTATGGCCGATCGACTATAAGTAACGCTTTTGTGACAGTATAGAATTTCCGTGGCAGAACGAGATTGCTTCCGAACATAATAAGACGTACGTTTGCTCGGCGCCGATTTGTGTGTTTCGGATTACAGTCACATCCGTTGCGTATAGTTAATGGCCTCGTGTTACGCCGTGTTATGAATGAAATGGTTATTGTAATTTGAGCGCACCTTCGCGGGAAAATGCTCGGTATGCACCTCTTCGAAAATAGAATAGAATGAATAGAGATACATAGGTTTTCCAAAACTTTCTCGTCAAAAGTTGATACGACGGGAGGTAATTCAGTTTTTTTATTTTTAACCTTAAGGTCTGGTTCTCCATTTTCATTTTTTGGCTAACTTAAAGCTTAAGCGTAATCTTATTTAACCCAATGATAATGTGAAATTTATGTTTTTGCAGCTTTAATTAATCACTGATAGTTTCGTAGTGTGTATGTGTAATAATTTTAATAGTTACTCACTACAATATCATCAGTTTAATGATTATTATAACTAGAAAAATACAATATCATCAGTTTAATAATAATCATAGCTAGAAAAATACAATTTTTACAATATCATCAGATTGAGTCTAATTACAAGTTAATCAGAAAATGAAAAACCATTTGTTTAAATAAACAAATAAGGTGGCCACAGCACTCCAAGTATAATTTTTTTAATACTTTATTCTAGAAAAGGAAAAGGAAAGGTATTGTCTAGAAGTCTTGAGTTCATTATTTTTCATTCTTCTATCTTATAAGGATACGTAAGCTAATATAAATTTAACTATAACATAATATAGTAGTAAAAAATATATAACCATAAAATTAAAAAATTTTTCTAAGTATTCTAAGCAACCCCCACTTGTCAAATAGATAAGTCTCTGCAGATTAAAGATCTGCATAGTACGTCCACGTACGAAAAGTTTATTAAATTCCGAATAATACCAACCTTTCACTTGCTTGATTGCCGTTTTCGCTAGGTCCAGCCAATGCTGCAAAATAACAAATATCGAATATGTAATACATATACATATAACATAAATAAGCTGATAAATATGTAAGATGATCGCAATATCGTTACGAGTGATTACTAAAAATTCTTATTATTTATTTATTATCGTTAGTCCACACTAGTTTAACAAGTTAGTCTAACAAGTATTCTACATATATATTTAAATATTTATATTCGTAACATAAATTTAAGATACTTCGAGTGATATCTTGTTTTCTGCCCGCTTTTTCTCTGAGGTAGCATGCTAATGCTACTCAATTCGCGTAACTACTCCGCGCAAGAACGAGAAAAAGTTCGTCGTAAAATTTTGTCATAAGAGCCTCTAATGATCGTAACAATCCACGCTCGCTCGTAAGTATAACAAGATATTTACCACAAATTATATCGACGAGATTGCGCGTCTGTTCTCATACCGTTTCAACGAAATTAGTGAAGATTGAAGTGACCATCGGTTTTTCTAACGCAAGTGCGTAAACTATATATTATGTCGAATTAGTTGCTTTCACAAAAGATAATTGTTGCAACTAAGCCGTTATATTAATAGAGATTCACGCGATGAGTTTTAAGAATATAATATATCAGATCAAGGATCAGTAGCAATTTCAGACCACTTCAAACTACTCAGTGGATTCATACGAGAGGATAAAACGGAGCAAATAGCTCTACGATAGGTCTTTGCAGGTGCCGCTTAGGGTAGTAACAATCGATATGACGTACGATACAATTTATTATCCTCGGAGGATTTATAGGTGACACGTATCTCTTTCGGGGTTCATTGTCGCTTATCGAAAGTGCAAACTTTAAAAATTGTCGCACTGCGCAAAATGCGATGAAAGAATATTTACAATTCCTATTAAAAAATTTCCGCTCGTACGACATGAATTGAATTGCGAACCAAGAGAATGGCGGGAGCAGAGAATAGCTTGAGGATTATAGGGTGCGGCATGTTAATTTTTAAAGACGGCGATGGAACGTTTGCGGATGTCTCTCTCCGGACGGACAATATTGATTTCGCCAGGCCTTAACGGGAAGACCAGAACACGGCGGGATGCTATTTTACACTGAGATCGCGAGATCATACGTTTTCCACTAAAAAATGAGAAATAAAAATAATTCCGTAAAAATTATGAGAGCTCTTCGCGCATATTCTCTTGAATTTATTTCGTATTATTTTAAAGATTATATATACATATATAATTCATTCAGTAAAATGATAATATCTTATGAAAAAAATTGAAAAATATCACTTTAAATACGGCGGAAAGAATGAAAAATTACTGTTGCTCCTATTCCGTAAAAGATATGTACTTTACTATCTCTCAGATTTAAAATTAACACAATTTTCATTCTGGATTAAATCTTCTGTAACCGAAATTAAGATCCATAGCTTTTTCCAGTGCACTCGTCCACCCATTCAGATTTAAGTAAAAGTTCATTTAAGATAGACTAACTTGTTAGAAATAAAAAAGCAAGCAATTAAGAAAAAATTCTGAATTTTTGCTTAATTGAATTACGACTTGATAACGTATTTATTATTAATATCAACTTTTAAAAACAATGACTACATTTAAAGAATAAACAATTAATTGTATGATTTTTATTTTTTTAAATATTGTAGCTATTATTTTTCTCTTCAGTTGTTATTAATTTCAACGTGAAACTGAATATCGCCAATGTAATCACAAAATATGTCATACGTATGTACGTATATTTAAATACATACGTTCACATTTTCAACGCGTTTGCAGGTCTTCGTGACGATCGAACGTTTATGAAGTAAATTAGATTTGTACCCTCTGGCCCTGGAATCGCAGCGATCGATGCGTTGAAACGCATCGTTGTTAAACGGAATGATATAAATATTATTTTGAGATCGATAACAAATCTTTTTTTCTCTTTTTTATCTTGATGAAGTAAAATTTGTCACAGCAATTATTAAGACAGATGCGACAGTTATTGTTATTTCCATGATAAATTTAATAACTTGTCTTTTTGAGAATAACAATTTAATTGCGTAAGTTTTAATTTGAGATATTACGGATGGAAAGGAGTGGAATAAATGATTAACGTTAAAACGCGTGTTCACAAGCGAAGTACAACAGTGTACTACGGTGAATCGTTGGTATTTCAAGGCACACCTATTTTTAAGTCCTCCGGAATTACACCGATGACCTAAGAATAACGATTACGATGGAGTGTACAGCGCACGACATGCCGTTCCAGGTGTTAGTAGACCGATTTTAATTGCATGACAGAGATCTTTCCGTCTTCCGCAAACGCGTCGACCGTCATTCGATAGAGTAACATTAAAAAAAACAAGGTAATTATACGAATACTTCGTGTCGCGAAAATTGTATGTTCGACTTTGATACGCACGCTACGATATCTTGAAACGCCAAATCATGTAAAACATCAGAACGGTGATGTCTTGTCTTGAGAGCCGAATTTTCTTAAAAATCTTTCTTTATCGACGTAACGAAGCCCGAAGTAATCCATCTCCAAAATGTTGAGTTGCTTGCACACATATTCGAGTATGTATCGTCCTTTTTCTTGTGGCTGCAACAAAGAGAAAAGAATCATCATAACAATCAGGTCGTGAATGCTCCTCCCGTTTTCTCTGCTTTATTCTTCGTACGGAAAAAGAAAACGCTGGCGGGAGCAAAAGGAATGGCTAGTGGAAGTAGCTTTATATTTAAGAAAACTTATAATACTTTAATAGTCTCTTCTTTCTTTTCTCTCTTTCTCTCTTTTTCTTTATATAAATAATGATTTCCAATACTAGTATTGATGGCAAAATTATGTAACCCCGAGAGATATCATACAATTTTAACGTGTCACATAGAAAAGGAAAAAATGTAAATAAATTTTTTACAAGCAACTCCGTCGTATTTCTGAAACGAACATTTCTTTTAAAAAAATAGAAATGGGTTTTACTCCGTCGTTTTTTAATTTTAATGCAAATGTAAATCAACGCGCCACTTCTTTCTGTCGTAATTTCTGAACGATAAAACGGTACGGCGCGTACATTGCATAAAATACCGGAAGTTTGATAAAACATGGTTGAGTTGAGTTCCAATTGCACGGAAATCTCTCGTTTTCATATCCGAGTATCTAAAATGCTACATGCGTTTACACATTCGTGCGAATATGTATCATGTATGTATCTTTACGTGTTAAAATTAATTTCGAATATCGAGCTAGCAAGACCAAATAGTAGAATCGAAAAAGACCTATTGAACTATTTAAAATAAATATGATATTAATACAATGGCTTTTGGGAATTGGCGCTGTAGTTGGTGCACAATAAACTATTTAATATTCATTTTGTACCGTGTATCATTTAAAAGAAATTCGTGGCGCTGCTAGTTTAATATCAAACTATAGTAGAAACAAAAGGAAAAAAAAACAAATAAGAAAAATAAAAACAGATATACACAGCATTTTGTACTAATTTGTACTATAAAACATAACTTTATATTATATTCCATTTAGAAGAACAACTCGTGGTTTTGCTAACTTAATAAATACGAAGCAAAATCATGAATTTCTTCTAAAGGCACGTGATACAAAATTATATTTTGTAGCACAAATTAGCACAAAATGAGCATTAAATAGTTCAATAGGTCTTTTTTTATTTTGCTCATTTGGTGCCAGCTTGACGTGGTTAAAAATTATATTTAAAGTATATTACACATGCATGTACTACATAAACAACACTAACTTCAGCTCTGTTCTTATTACAGTCTATGAAAAATAAATAATGTCTTTTCCGTATTTTGATAAATAATACCTTACAGTTGCGACAATGCTACGAAAGTATAAACCATAAATCACGATCTCGACGCCTTTGCGACATACTACTTTCCTATCTTGCGGAAACGGAGTACGTGCGCTTTAACGTAGCTTTCGCAACCAAGTAACACGAATGCTTTCCGGGATCGTCAACTTTCAATTTTATGTCGTTTTTACTTTTAATGATCTTTTTTTTAAACACGTCAATCCCTTGAAGTAAATTTTATTTTTCATAATATTTAAATCTGATATAGACGTTATATTCCAAAAAAACTGATAAAGTTCAACTCCTTATCATGCTGATGTGAAAGATCACTAATATCAATATGCTATCTCGACGCATTAAAAATTATATGATACAACGATCAGCACAAATTTGAAAATACATGTAATAATATAATATTTAAATATCGCTTAAAGCTTAATTAAAACTGCATTATGCTGATGTATTGCAAGCAAAAGATAACCGGAATGGCTTCCTACACGTGTTGCATACGATACAGATTATACAAAGAAACGACTCAGACATGATTTTTGCAACAAAACTGTGATCAAAACGAAATCGCTACAACTTTTAAATTAATAACTTCGTAATCACAAGTTAAGTATCAGATGTAAGGTCACAGACAAAAAAAAACAGAGAAGAATGTTATTTTCTCATCTTTACGCAAATCATATATATTTATATATATATATATACACACAAGATTTAATGTAATAGCATTATTTATGTTTAAAAGAATCACAATGTTGTTTTGAAAGAAAAACCACTGTTATAGCAGACTTATTACAAGAGATTAAAAGAGATATATGTGCATGACTAAAAAAAGATGTTTAATTTTATTAGGATATTTATAGGATATTAAAATGTTTTATTCTCGTTTCCGTCGTTTTTTAAACACTTAAAGATGTTTTAGTTTTAAACTTTTTCAATAAACATTAGATGTTTAAAGCAAGAGTAAAAAATTTTTTAATTACATTAAATTTTAAAAAACATTAAAAAATCTTAAAATTAAACACTTCTTTTTTCAGTGTAGTATCAAAATACTTGAAGACTATTTTGAATAATTCTTTTAGAATTTATTTCTGATATTCAGTATAAGAAATTTGTCTTGCAATTGTACTCATAATATAAATTCTTGTACTAGATACCCCATACAATCGGAGAACCACTGAGAACAAATGTCTCGCCCATTTCGACAATAACCGAATACAAAGTTACTTAACAAGTGCATTGTTAGCATTAAAAAAGTATATTTTCCTGACAATCATTTTTACCGTTGTTTTTTCACATTCACCTCTTTTATCCGTCGAAATTCAAAATGATTACACTTTGCGTCACGATATAAAGCGATGCGCGTATTAAACGTGAAATGCGGCATCCCGTTCTATATATTTTTGCAAATACAAATTTCTCTGTGAACTATTGAATGAACTATCCCTGAGGAGGTGCGCCGCCGAAATGTCACGTCCCAAAATAACTCTCATCGAGAATCAAATTGAATGTTTCAACGTAACATTCACGATAGCTTGGACTACTACGGCTATTACTACAAGTCGTAAAATAGTACAAGATATAAGTTGAGGGGTGGAAAGTTTTTCACGAAGACGAAAATGCTACAGTCGTTTGCACACCAGTCATCCCCAGCACATCGAGTGTTTTTAGCGGTCCTCACTCTTCACATGTGTCAAGAGCCACGAGACAAACTGTGCATATCCAAAGTGTACAGGGTTCCCTCTTGGCTGTACGAGTACACGAAAGTTTCCGACGTTTCACGAACTTGTACCGAGAATGTACAAGGGACTTGATGTGTTAGCATTATTGTATATTAATAGGAACGAGCTCCGCGAGTTATTTACTCGCCCAAGATTGACGGCAACGCAAAAGCGTATAATATGCTATGCAATAATACTCGACGAAGGCGTAAGTCACTAGTGTTCGTACGTCTGACCTGACTTAAATCCGCGAAACGATGAAGTATTAACCGAGATCATATAGATTACCGAAGAAAGCTACAAGCGACAAATTTCGAGCGTAAGATACAAAATTCATACGATGAGATATTATGAGAGTTAGAAATAAAAGTTATGTTAAAATATCATTTTTATAATACAGTTACTATTGAAAATATATTGAGAAGGGCTACGAACCATAAGAATAAGATTGAAAATAGATAATAAGTAAAATATAAATATAGATTTGTAGCCCTTCTCAACATATTTTCAATTAATTTATATTACTTGAACCATTTTACACTATGTATTACAATTACCGTTATTTTTAATCACTATTTTCAAATTACGAAAGCTTTTTTCATTAAAAGTTGGATACTTCTGGAATTTTATAGAGAAGTCATTCTCTTTTTACTGGCTTCTTAAAGAACTCGCTATTTAAATAATGAAAAACCTATTTACAGCTACAATTTCACAAAAAGAAAAATTAAAATTTAAGCGTTACTTTTTTCACACTAGATTTCTTGAAGAGAAATAGAAAAAATGGATATTATACTATACGGATATTTGCGCTAAAAATTGACATTAACTTCATTAAAAGTTATTATTGTAACATAATTAAAGTAATACAATCAGATGTACAAAGTTAACTAAATTCTTTATAAGAATTAAAGCATAAGTAGAATTGGTCTCTATTTTGCTCATGCAGTAGTTCAAGATCGAATGAGTCAGCCATGAGATTTCAACACGACGGATCTCATGAGATTTCAAGTGACTTCTCTAATTGTTTTATTAAATCTTTCTGCAGTTATATTGGTAACAATATTAAGGAGATAGAGAAGCGCAAATACTACAGTCAATTCACAATATTAAATTCCTATATTACGATATTAAGTTATAAATTTAATCTCTTGAAACAATGAAGCGATCTTGACGAAAATACTTTACCCTGCGATGAGAAAAGAGCTTTTAACCTCGTTATCTAAATATTAACTGATTTACGGCAAAGCAATATGAATAGTTAAATGGTAAATTAAAGCTATAAATAATAAATAAGCACGAAACGTAATTATGCCATACAGAATACCGGTAAATGTGTGCATACAAATGAAGTATAGATCTAATTTAATTAAAGAGGATTTGCATACATTAATCAGAAATATATAAACAGTGTCAAGGGACGAGATAATCGATATCAAAGAATATCTAAGTAGTAACCTTACCATTTTCAGATTATTTAGTTATGCTGTGATATATATTATATATATATATATATACACATATATATGTGTGTGTGTGTACATATACGTATTATAACAACGAAGTTGCCGATGGCATACTCAAAAAGATACTAAACTTTAATAATATTTTTCTATATATTTTTTCTTTTTTATATACATACGGAAGAGAGCGCCAATGATCGGTCAAAGTTAGATGTTATGAATACAATATATTCTTAATTTAAAAAATTTTAATTATCTCAGATGTGACTGTGTGCCGAAACATTCGGACATTAATCGCAATTGATTTGAGACGCTAATAATATAAATATGATGAGGCGCCGAAACATTCGGACATTCCTATATATGAAATAATCCCCCCTAAGTTCTTTACCGAATTAATTTAATGATTAGTATTTAAATTTTGAACAGAAATGTATATTAAGATTTAGTAAATTTTTTTTCAATGCGGGATGCCGACTTATTGATTTTATCTCAATCTCAAAGATCGTACAAAACATTCACAAAAAGCTCTTATTGGTTCTCATCGAAATCCATTGACACGTGTTTGACTAGTTTATGGAAAGAAAA